TTTTCCATATCATTCATTTCCCAGTTTGTACTTTTGATTCTACAAAAAAAAAAAAAAAACCCACCAAAAAAAGGTCTGCCCCACATTCAAAACCTCTTATCACCCTTGCATCCTTCACTAATTCAATCAGTCTTTCATATTAAACAATTAAATCAAACATGCTTTTAGATTTATATTCATTCCTTTGCCATATGTATGTAGGAACCAATTAAAGCATGTATTTGAACCAAGGAGACCTTCTTCTAAGCAGATAATCACCATTCACCATTCTCATTTGTTCTTGGGTTTTTGAAGTTATAGGATGTATGCTTTTTCTTTCTTTTTTGTTGTTCATTCATTCATTCATTCATTCACTCACTCACTAGTTTGAAATATAGCAGCTACACACTGAATTTTTAAAAGAATTAAAATAATATATATTTTAAAATGCTGGGTGTGTCAGGGACTCTGATGGACATCAAAGGAAGGATCCATGCATACATTGGCACCCATGATTCATTCATTCATTCATTCATTCACTCACTCACTAGTTTAATTTATATTTTGCCCACAGCATTTGCCAGGCAGTCAAGGGCATCATGATATAAACATCTGGTTCTCAGCATGGTTCCATGGGTGCCAATGTATGCATGGATCCTTCCTTTGATGTCCATCAGAGTCCCTGACACACCCAGCATTTTAAAATATATATTATTTTAATTCTTTTAAAAATTCAGTGTGTAGCTGCTATATTTCAAAGCAACAAACATATTTATTTTCCAAGAATGACTCTGGACCCAATCTATGGACTGATACATGTAACAGGGACACGTGCCTCAAGCCTGCTTCTATGTTTGGATGGGTATCCTCTTGCCTAGAAAAAAAGAAAAAAGGAAAGAGCGACTGCATGCAAAACTGAGCCCATTCTGGCATTGTTAGCAAACTTCAATAATGGCATTTCCTACAGCCAGCTCTTCCCCTTCTTCACAAGGTGGAAAAGCCCTGCAACTTGCTTGGAATTAATATGAGGTTCTCTCTCTTCTTCTTCTGTTTAGACTTAGAAATAAATTGGAAATTGAACTGTGGGTGAGCCAAGCTGACAGCAGAGCAGCACGTAAGTAATGAGATTGCTTGGAATGGGAATATGTTGACATATATATTGCATGCCTTGTAGATCTTGCAGGAGAATCGTCAAGTGAGAGCCTTGTCTTGTCCTCTCCCAGGGGTGCATTGCACTGACTGCCCTTGTTGTCAAGTTCTTTCATTTAATGTCTCAAGAGAAGCCCTTTGGTCAAAGGTACTGTCCTTTCTTTGTACCTGCAGAAATGAAAGAGGATGACCAGGCAAGGACAGAAGAAACTTCTCTGGCCAGTGCTGATCTGCTGACATCTCTGAGGTGCCAAATCATCACAAAATGGGAGGAAATTCAAGCAATGGAGAAAGAAATTAAAAACACCATGACTTTTAGTGGCATTATAAATATTAAACAGAAGACTGTGAAAGAATTAGAGGTAAGACATGAGGTATATGAAGCATGGCTGTTTCCTGTGAAGTTGGAGCTGGTAAGTCCAGGTTTCATTTCTTGAGCCTTTGAAATTGCATAGAGTAGACATTATGCATTTGGCAATTGCTTTAAGAGCTACTTTGAGGACAATATTGACACAGCTGGTGGTTAGAAATAAGATGCTTTGGGGCTTTGAAACTATAATCTCTTTTAGATCTAATGATAAGCCACAATTTATGTTTACAAGAAGAATCCTGCCCAGGTAAGCCTGAGGTTCACACATTCCACTATTCCCTATTCTCCCCTCCTCAGGTGTGATGCTGGAAAGATTTGAGGCTTTGGCTTCTATTCTTCTCTAGCCACAGCTCAGTGTTAGAAGCGATTAATCATGTTTTGTAGAAACTTACATGAACAATAGCTTCATTCACATGTTTCATGTTTTCTTATGAAACAGACTGCTATATTAGCTCAACAAATCATTAGTTAAAGAAACTACTATTTAACGCAGGGATTGCAACTTACTGAGACTACAGTATTCTGTAGAGCAGCTCCTCTTCTTTGGCATAGGTTGCCCTCTGAGGCAAGGATGGCCCCCACCTTTAGGGCCTTCCAAAATCACGTGAAACTATGGGTCTTCCAGGAGGGCCTTGGGAGTTAACTATAATGAATAGCACTCAATAGATTTTAGCTTATCACTGTAGTATTTACATTTAAATTGAAGAATTAGATTTGGATTTACTAATTTAATTGTTATATTGTTTTTTTTATTGTGTTTTATTTGTAAGACCAGCCATCTTTTGGGGATGCTATGATTTCCTGTGTTGAATAAAGCTTTGGATTGGATGGCCTAAATAGACTAGACTCCATGATTTTATGATCCCTTTGTGGATATACTGAGGAGGAAGGAACATATATGTGTATATGCCCATCAGAGGAAAGCATTATTTAGTTTATCCTTGTGCACAAGCAGGCCATTATTCTCTTTTCAAAATGCTCCTTCTCCTGTAGATCAATATAAAATCCATAAGGTTTCCCTCAAGCTGAGCTCAGATCCTGGTGACTACTTGTACAGGTCCATGTCATTTTCGTGGCAAAAACACCGAAGTGGTTTGCTGTGGTTTTCATCTGGGATGCTTTTTCCATTTCCCAATCTAGTCTACAGCCCTGGGGTTTCCTGTTGGTATAGGCTGAAGTTAGACTGTAGTGAAATCCAATTCAGAGATTTGGGCATGATTTCTAAGGTAGGGAACTGTGGCTCTCCAGGTACTCACAAGAGCTCTTTCCTATCATGGTCATTGGCTATGCTGTCTGAAGATTCTAGTAACATCTGGAGAACCTCATGTTGTCTGCTCCTAACTTAGAATCAGGGAATGTCTGCCTGAGCTCTTAGCTATAATGTGGACATTTAGAGAGACCCAACTGCTCCAGCCAGCCTAACCCAACCAGCCTTGTGAGCTGGGTATAACTATCTTGTCTGTTTGGAGCTGGAAAGTTTTCTCAAAATTATATTTCAAAATTTAATCTGGAGGAATGAGCCAATTTCAGTCTGTAGGCACAGATCATGAAGTAGAGATTTGAGGAGTTGGGGTATAGAATATGCAGATTATTACATCAGGCTGAGAAAGCACATGGCTGATTTGCCCATCATATTATTTCAACAGCTGGAGATTTAAAACAGTGAACAATCATTGCAATATGCAATCCTTATTTATTCCTCTCTCACATGAAAATGACCAGATATAGCTAAGCAAACACTCCAAAGGTGATTTTTTAAAAAAAGAATCTAGACTAGGAAACGGTGGGTAATTTCACAAAACCTCTGGCTCCTTGGAAAAAGTCTCAGATTTTTTTTTTTTAAAGTACACATTGGTTTTGTGCCTAAGGTAAGACTAGAACCCACAGTCTTCCAGTTTCTGGTGCCTTAACCACTACATCAAACTGGCTGTCTTATTGGAGACAATAACACTGTCATTCTTATTCTTAGACTCTAATATAATAGTCAATTAAATCTTGATAGAAGACTGATAATTGTTTACTGATGAAAAGATAGAATGAGATCATTCAGAAATCCTGTGTTCATGCTTTCTGCAGGGCGAAGCATCCAAACTCCAGGCCTCAAACAATTACCTAAAAATGCAAATCAGGGTAAGTTTACTGAGCAGAGTCTTCAGAAGCCTTGATGACCTTGCGAAGATGGGCATTGTCTATTTGGGGCCTGGTTTACAGACGGA